CGCCTCACACCAGCGCCCAGCCTACACCCCCCTCCCGGGAGGCCCAGGCCCGGCAGCGGCAGGTGTGCCTGCTCACGGGTAGCTCGTGAGTAGGCGTGGGTGTGGGTCCTGAGAACAGCCTCACAGACCACAGGCCTCCCCCGTGGGCACCGTGGTTGCCCCAGGAAGGGCTTCAGCTGGACTTTTCCTCTGCAGCACTAGGTGACCTGCCCCTGCATGCCAGTGCCTGGGTGAGGGCCTCCAGGATGGCAGGGCAAGTCCAGGCCAGGAGTGTGAAGGCACAGGGGCCTGGCCTTGCCTGCCCCTTACGGCCTCTGCAGGCCTCTTATTTGTACCCAAATTAGATAGTAAGTGGTTACTTGTGACCCTCGTCACCTGACACACTTCCCAGTGTGGGATGGCACGCTTAGAAGCCCCCCGCTGCCTCCTGAGGTGTGCTGGAGTGGTGGGAAGGGGGGGGCAGAGCCCCAAGCAGCTGGGAGTTGCACTCAGTCTCTGAAGAGGGGATGGGACAGTAACGTGAACTGACGTGACTCCACGTCACACAAGTGTCACCAAGCCAAGAGGGGCAGCTCTGAGAAAGCAGTGTCCCAGACCAGCAGCTCCATCTTTGCTCCTGGTGTGGAGATGGTATCAAGGTGCACTGCAGGTCATTCTTAGACGCCATTGCCTCTGTCCTGAGGGTGGGCATGGAGAGCCTCGGCCTCTCTACAGGAAGACAGGGAGAGATGGGGCTCCCAGGCTGTACCCTCCCTCAGCCGCTCAGTCCTGGCACCTGCTGCTCAGAGCACGGTCACTGCGGGGCCAGGAAGCCCAAGAAAAAGCAGCACTCCCTGGCAGGAGTCGTAGGGTCTGTTCTGAGCAGTGGTTGCAGGCCCCAGAGGGCTAGGACCGGTAAGCTGTGCTTAGGGCTGCAGACGCCTCATATTCAAAGCCCCACCAGGGACATCCTTGTAGGAAGGCCTCTCTGTGGAAAGCAAACACCGTAACGAGCCCTTTAAACGAAAACCAACAGGGGGAAAATGAAAACACCCTGCTGGCAGGCTTGTTTGTAGCTGCTCTTCTTTTTCTTTTCCTTTATTTTATTCATTGTCATTATTTATTTATTTATTTATTTATTTATTTATTTATTTTTGAAGTTGACCAGAGAGAGATAGAGAGAGAAGGAAAATGAGAAAGCAAGCTGCCAGGTCTCGGACTTGAATCGTGGCCACCCATGTAGGGGTCCAGCTGCTTTCACCACTGTGCACCTGCCAGCCCCCCCCCTTCATAAGGTCTTTGCTATAGGGTACATGCACTTACCAGAGAGACAGAGACAGTGAAAGGGAGTGAGAAATCCTTCCCCATCCCCAGGAATGGACATACCGCAACCCCTTCTCCATTCTCCTGGACTCTTGGGCATGCACGTCTGGCCTAAGTTTCATGCCACCAGGTTCAGGACTCAAACTGCAGTTGACCATGTGGTAGTCCAGCATCTTAGCCACCATGCCCCCTGCTGGCCCCAGTAGCTGCTCCTTTTTACAGAAAAAGTTCTGGGCCAGCAGGGGGCGTGGTGGCTGAGGCGCTGGGTCCCATCCGGGTACCTGCGTGGTCCTAGCTCTTGGGGACGTGTACACAGAGAAGGGGTTTCGGGGAGCCGGCCTCAGGCAGCACCCTCTCACTTTCTATCTCTGTGTCTCTGTGGCGGGTGCTAGTGCCTTACGGCCAGAATCCTAAAATAAATACATAAATAAATAAGTTATAAAGAAAGTTTTGTTTCCATTTTATGTCATTCTTGAAAATGGAACAGGGAGACCAGTAGTTGGCATAATGGCTACGTCGCTGAACTCCCCCATAGTCAACTGCGGTTTGAGTCCCGGACCCGGTGGCTTTAACTCACGCCGGGCATGTGTGCATGCGTGCCCAAGATCCCGAGAGGAGAATGGAGAGGGGATTGCGGTGTGCCCATCCCCCATGGGGGGTGATTTCTCACTTTCTGTCGCTCTGTCTCTCTCTGTCTTTCTGGCAAGTGCACAGCAAAAACTATAGCAAAAACCTCTCAAAAAACTCCAGGATGGCAGGGCAAGTCCAGGCCAGGAGTGTGAAGGCACAGGGGCCTGGCCTTGCCTGCCCCTTACGGCCTCTGCAGGCCTCTTATTTGTACCCAAATTAGATAGTAAGTGGTTACTTGTGACCCTCGTCACCTGACACACTTCCCAGTGTGGGATGGCACGCTTAGAAGCCCCCCGCTGCCTCCTGAGGTGTGCTGGAGTGGTGGGAAGGGGGGGGCAGAGCCCCAAGCAGCTGGGAGTTGCACTCAGTCTCTGAAGAGGGGATGGGACAGTAACGTGAACTGACGTGACTCCACGTCACACAAGTGTCACCAAGCCAAGAGGGGCAGCTCTGAGAAAGCAGTGTCCCAGACCAGCAGCTCCATCTTTGCTCCTGGTGTGGAGATGGTATCAAGGTGCACTGCAGGTCATTCTTAGACGCCATTGCCTCTGTCCTGAGGGTGGGCATGGAGAGCCTCGGCCTCTCTACAGGAAGACAGGGAGAGATGGGGCTCCCAGGCTGTACCCTCCCTCAGCCGCTCAGTCCTGGCACCTGCTGCTCAGAGCACGGTCACTGCGGGGCCAGGAAGCCCAAGAAAAAGCAGCACTCCCTGGCAGGAGTCGTAGGGTCTGTTCTGAGCAGTGGTTGCAGGCCCCAGAGGGCTAGGACCGGTAAGCTGTGCTTAGGGCTGCAGACGCCTCATATTCAAAGCCCCACCAGGGACATCCTTGTAGGAAGGCCTCTCTGTGGAAAGCAAACACCGTAACGAGCCCTTTAAACGAAAACCAACAGGGGGAAAATGAAAACACCCTGCTGGCAGGCTTGTTTGTAGCTGCTCTTCTTTTTCTTTTCCTTTATTTTATTCATTGTCATTATTTATTTATTTATTTATTTATTTATTTATTTATTTTTGAAGTTGACCAGAGAGAGATAGAGAGAGAAGGAAAATGAGAAAGCAAGCTGCCAGGTCTCGGACTTGAATCGTGGCCACCCATGTAGGGGTCCAGCTGCTTTCACCACTGTGCACCTGCCAGCCCCCCCCCTTCATAAGGTCTTTGCTATAGGGTACATGCACTTACCAGAGAGACAGAGACAGTGAAAGGGAGTGAGAAATCCTTCCCCATCCCCAGGAATGGACATACCGCAACCCCTTCTCCATTCTCCTGGACTCTTGGGCATGCACGTCTGGCCTAAGTTTCATGCCACCAGGTTCAGGACTCAAACTGCAGTTGACCATGTGGTAGTCCAGCATCTTAGCCACCATGCCCCCTGCTGGCCCCAGTAGCTGCTCCTTTTTACAGAAAAAGTTCTGGGCCAGCAGGGGGCGTGGTGGCTGAGGCGCTGGGTCCCATCCGGGTACCTGCGTGGTCCTAGCTCTTGGGGACGTGTACACAGAGAAGGGGTTTCGGGGAGCCGGCCTCAGGCAGCACCCTCTCACTTTCTATCTCTGTGTCTCTGTGGCGGGTGCTAGTGCCTTACGGCCAGAATCCTAAAATAAATACATAAATAAATAAGTTATAAAGAAAGTTTTGTTTCCATTTTATGTCATTCTTGAAAATGGAACAGGGAGACCAGTAGTTGGCATAATGGCTACGTCGCTGAACTCCCCCATAGTCAACTGCGGTTTGAGTCCCGGACCCGGTGGCTTTAACTCACGCCGGGCATGTGTGCATGCGTGCCCAAGATCCCGAGAGGAGAATGGAGGAGAAGGGATTGCGGTGTGGCCATCCCCCATGGGGGGTGATTTCTCACTTTCTGTCGCTCTGTCTCTCTCTGTCTTTCTGGCAAGTGCACAGCAAAAACTATAGCAAAAACCTCTCAAATAAATAAATAAATAAATAAATAAAAAGAAGAAGAAGATGCAATAGGAAAAAGAGAAGTCACAGCAGTGCAGGAAGGGAATGGCCTTCACCGTGCTTGCTGCCAGGGGTGGGCGGGAGGTGGGGTGCGGGCTCACACTGCCATCTCACTGAGGACACAGGTCACACAGTGCGTGCTGGCCCGACCCCCACCTCCCCAGGCAGGAGAGTCTGCCGCCAGCACCTCACGACTCCAGATCAGGTGGCCACCTTGTCCCCACACAGTGGTGTCACCGCTTGCCAAGGCCACCCGCGTGAACTCCAGCTGGGACTTCTGGTGACACGTGAGACACAAGCTGGCCTTTGCCCCACCTGCTGGCACGTGGCTCTTAATGGACTCTCCAGAGTGAACAGGGTGTCTGTCATCTGTCTGTCAATCAGGTAGCTGCTGGCTGGGGCCCCTTGGCAGGATCAGAGGGTGGGACTTGCTGCCTCACTACGGCTTCCAGGGAGGAGGAGGGGCTGAGGGGCGGTGACCACCAGCTGCCAATGATGTGGTCAGTCATGTCAACATAATGGCCTCTGTGGAACCCTGATGGAACAGCAGTGTTCGGGAAACTCCTGCACAGCTGAGCACACGGAGGCTGGAAGGTACAGAAGCTCTGCCTCCCCAAGCTGTGCGTCTCTGTGGCACTGTAACACCTTTTAGAATAACCATGGAGGGACTGGCAGGTGGCGTGGTAGCTGAGGCGCTGCACTCTCACATGGCCGAACGTAGTTCAAGTCTCGGACTGGTACCTTGCTTTCTCACTTTCCCTCTCTCTCTGGTCAAACTGATAAATAATAATAAATAAAATTAAGTAAATAATTATTTAAAAGTAAATAGAGACCAGCAAATAGTGTAATGGTTATGTGTATGGACTCCCACATGGTTGACCGTGGTTCAAATCCTGAACCCAGAGGCTTGAAACTCATGCTGGGAGCATATGCGTGCATGTCCAAGATCCCAGCAGGAGAATGGAGAAAAGATTTGAGCGTGGCCATCCCCCCAGAGGGAGTGATTTCTTGCTATAAATAAACCACAGAAGGGGCCAGCAGGTAGCATGGTGGCTAGGATGCTGGACTCCCACGTGGCCAAACACGCAGTTTGAGTCCCAGACCTGGTGACTTGCATTCTTACTTTTCTTCTGTCTCTTTCTGATGAGTGTACATGCCCTATAGCAAATTAAAATAAAAATAATAAGAATTTTAAAAAGAATAAATGAAAAGGTGGCCAGTGTTTCCCTGAGTCCTAGGAGCCACTCTAGCAAATTAAGGAGAGAGCGGCAGGAGGCAGAGCCCATCTGTTGGCCGGGAGCCAGGTAAAACCACCAGGGCTGAGGCCTGGCATGTAAGGTGGAGGAGTGGCCTCCTCCGTGGGGTCTGATGCCGCCTCCGGGTGGCCACATCAGCACAGGGCGACGCTTGTGGGCACCCAACTGGGGCCGCTGCAGGAACTGTCGCTGGGCTGGCCTGTGGAGTGAGGCTTTAGTGGCGGAGCTCTGTCCTGGGAGCAGCACAGCGGCTGGGACACGCCCACTGAGCAGCTGTGCGTGTGCCTCACACCCTGTAGGCTGCTCCTAATGGGACCAGGCTCTCAGCTGATGCTGAGCAGAGAGCTGTTGCCAGGCAGTCCCACCTGGCCTCGGCCACTGCAGGCCCTGCTGCAGCCTGAAGCCACTGTGAAGACTGACAAGCTGACAAAGTGGCCAAAATGCCCTTGGGTCAGGATGAGACTCTTGAGAGGTGCGAAACCAGACAGGTTTGTACAAAGACACAAGCGTGCAAAGTTGGAGCCAAAGGAAAACGGAAAGAAAGGAAAGAGGAAGAAATCCACGCACTCCGGAAACACTGGGTTTACTCATCGGCCTCTGCGCCAGGGGCAGCCCCAGGATCCCACGGCCCCACGCTGCAACCGGGCTACCCTGGGAAGCACCGGGATCGCACTGAGTGTCTCTGCAGGGCACCAGGGCAGGCGCCACGTGTGGAGCATGTGCCCTCGCACCACCAGAGTGTCGGAGAGCATGGAAGGCCTTCGAGGCTGTGAGGGCTCTCCCCTGCAGGGTGGGGCCGGCCCCGGCTCGGGGGAGATCTGGGAAAGTCACGACGGCTGAGACGGCGGGCGCCACGTCTGAGCGTGGCATGGTGGCCATTACCTTGTCGTGCCGCCGCAGGTGCTCCTCGCAGGCACGGAGCAGCTGCCCGGGCCGCGCCTCCCCGAGGGCACACAGAGCACTGCACACCTGCTCCTGCACCGCAGGGTCCTTGTCGGTGATGGCGTCCAGCAGGGCGCGGCACAGCTCTAAGGCGACAGTCAGTCAGTTAGCACGCCCGGGCGCCCTCCCATCATGCCGCAGCTGCTCCCATGCCCTCCGCGTCTCCGAGCTTAGCCTCGCACTGCGGGGGGCACACACGGCCCAAGGGCAGCTCTGCTACCTCGGGCAGAGCTTGGGCAGGGACAGAGGGGCAGGGCTCCCAACTGGGCACACGTGGGCCCTCAGCAAGCGGCTGGCTTTGGCCACGAGGCAGAATGGCCCGCAGCCCACCATCTACAAAGCAGAGGCAGCCCTTGGCCACCGAGCCCGGAGGCGGGTGCTCCCAGACGCGGTGCCTTCTGCCATCTGTGAGCTGCCCAGCCTCAGCATCCAGCCAACTCTGCTCGGCCCAGGTCACTACTCGGTTCATCTGGGAGAGAGCTCAGAGGCCAGCTTCCCTTGTACCACATGTGCCGATGCCACGTGCCCACCTGAATCCCAAATCACAGCAGGTAGGCATGAGGCTGACACCTGCCACGAGGCCCACTCGCCCAGGGTGAGATGCCACAGCCCTTGCCCCAGCAGACAGGGCAGCCCTCGCCCAGGCCACAGGCACTCACTGTGCATGTAGGACTCAGCCATGGCGGGGCCGTGCTTCCTCACACCAGGCAGAACAGACAGCCTCTTCTCCAGCCTGGAACGAGAGCACAGCTCAGACTCAGCCTCCGCAGCAGCAACGTGCATGTGCACCTGCTACTTCATGTACAATACAATTTAAATAAATGTTTGGTTTTTAATGTTTTTGCCATATGGCGCATGTGCTCACTGGAGACATAGACCTGGAGA